CAGTCACACTACTCACCCCAACCCTCCAGTCGACGAGCTTTCTTTGATGTTGTCGATTTTATTTAATTTGCCCTTTTTCAATTGATACAGTGTACTCAAAACCTTATTAATTAAAATGGATATTTGAAAAAAATAAGTCCAAATAAAAAATGTGTTCCTTGGCATTTTAAAAAGATTATTTATAAAAATCAAAGCAAGTAATACATTGCCTATTAAATGTCTCATAGCCCGACTAGCCTTGCTAATTTTATTTCATTCATTTTTTACTTTCTTTCTTTGTTTTTTTATCTTTCTTTCTTATTATTATGAACATAAAGAATGGTACATTATTATTTTTCAAAAATAAATAAACAAACGCTCGATGGTCAAACGCATAACGTTGAGTTCTGTTACACACAACATTATGCGTTTGACCGTCGTACGTTTGTTGAAAAATAATAATGTATTGTTCGTTGTATTTTTTTAAAATAAAGCGTTGGGTGGTCAGTTGATAGAAATCGCCTGATGAGACTGTGAGATCGAAACCAAGGTAGCGTATTCAACTGACCTCCTCATTTTTTAAATTTAAAAGCTATACATGTTATTTTTACCATTATTTTATTTTATTTCCACAAGTGTATTGAGCACTTTTTATACTACCGTTTCCTGGTCTGATTCAACTCTGACCATTAACCTTTTATATATATATATATATATATATATATATATATATGTGTGTGTGTGTGTGTGTGTGTGTGTGTGTGTGTGTGTGTGTTTATAAATAAAAAGAAAGAACAGTAAGATATATAATCCGGTGTTCTTATAGATATTTTTATTTTTACAAAATAGTGTTCAATGTAAATTTACAGAGCATTAATATTATAAATTAATTGATTTAAAATATGTTTTCTTTTTTTTTTTTACTACAATTCTAACCATGTTTCTGAAACATGGTTAGAACTGTGTAAAGGGAAAAACATATTCTAAATCAATTAATATATATATATATATATATATATATATATATATATATATATATATATAAAAAATATAGTCTTAAGGTGTGCTATATTTATGGAATAAAGTGTTCAACATCAGAGATAGAGCGTGTGAATATAGTGTGAATAAATATATAAGCCTGACGAT